AGGATTTTAGATTTCTGTGGCCTTGAGAAACAGCTGTTACTCCAAGATGCTTTTAGTTGTAACATGTAAAATTCTACTAATTATCTGTGTATACAAACACATGCCTGCCCATAAACACACGCACGTGCGCACGCGCGCACACACACACACATATATCAAGAGGTAGAAAAAATGGTCTTTCTAGTATGGAACTGCAATTGATTTTTATGCAGATTTTATATACAGCGACTGTTAAATTCACTTAATTCCATGCTCCTCTTTTCAGCTATATATAAACTTCTGGCAAATCCTTACATTGCATTGCAATTTCATTTCTAGACATATGTTTTATTATTTCACAATTTCCAGTCACCTGCTATAATGTATGGACTAGTCGTCTAAATTTTGAACATACATTGAGTAAAGTAGTAGTTTTAATGTTTGGTTGATATCTCCAAGATCTGAATCTCTTATGTGTGTGTTCCCAGATAGTAAAATGGAACTAACTGGTAAACAGATGGCATAAGTTAATGGATTCTATTACAAACACATATTTTCATAGTATGAACGGTAGAAAGTGAGAGATATAATGCATGCCAAGTTGGATTATGTAAACAAATAAACACTTGCAAATCCTTGTTAGTGATTTACGTATACTTATTGAAGGAAAATCTGGTTCATGAGCTTTTGCATCAATTAATTTGATAATTTTATTAGAGCATTAGATGCCTTACCTAGAGGTAAAAATGCACATAATACCTCTAACATGAGGCTTTTTCTGCAGTAATGACGTTCCATTTCCTTGCAGATCGTCTACATGGGTTGGTGTGAGGCCCGGGAGCAGGACCCCCTTCAGGACTCGGTGTACTCTCCAATATTTCTAGCCCTGAGGGGCTCATGTCTTTACAAGTTTCTGGCACCTCCAGTAAGTGTTTTTGTCCAATACTTATTTTCCTATATGTCACAGCAGAGTGACATTGACTTAACAATAAAAATAGCATGTGGCCATTATTTTTGAAAATCAGCTACAGAACAAAAATAGAAAATAGTCCAAATGTTTTTGTGCATATTTTGCTGAATATATATTCTGTCATTAAACATCACTTTATAACCCTTGAGAAATCTAGAAATCTTTTCTATTTAGGCATTTATGACAGGCAAGATATGTTTATGTGGCACAAGTCTGTCTACATCACATCAACAGTATTTTTTATATCCTATATGCTAGTCATTGGGTGTTTTATTAAATATGTATGGGTATCTATTGCACCTAATATCTTGTTTTTGAAGCAGATACCTTCCATAATTGTCATTCTCAATAAACATTTAATGAATATAAATATCAAATGTCAGACCACTTACAGGTCTAATAATGGATAGGGCCTTGGAATTATCAAGTCTGACTTACTGCTATTTTGAATGTCTCTGTGTAAACAAAGTTCACAACACCACAAAGGCAGGTAAAAAAGCCATTAATATGTATATATTTTACTATATTACTACTCTGAATAATTTCATATGATTGGAAATATAGGTGTATGTTTTACACTTCAGTAAGTGAAACAATTTCACTGTCATGTTTGGTACCTTCATAATTTTCTAAGGTGTTCATATCTTGAAATGACTACCAATATAAATTACTTCTTTTTAAAAAATTCAACTCAATGTCGCTATCTGGTATTCTTCTTTGTAGGTAAGGAGTGGTAAACTTTAAAAAAAAAAAAGGTGTGTGAAATATAAATACTTATTATTGCCTAGAGGCCTAGTGCACAAAATCATGCATGGGTGGGTGTTATCCGGGCCAACGGGGTATGGGGGGGTATGGCTGCAGGTGGTTGGCTGGCTGGCCACGCCCCTGATTGGTGTATTGGGGGCCGATTGGAGGCCGTGCTGGCCGGGGTGGGGCAGGGGGCAATCAGGGCCTGGATCAGTCTGGTTGGCTGCTGCAGTGCACATCGTAGTCTCATAGCCACTGGTCATTCTGATTGTTCCACCATTCTGGTCACTGGGCTTTTATATATATAGATATGTAAAGAATACACAATATTTAAAATATGTAAAGCTATTGGGCACGGTGAGATTGTTGCATGTAACATGAGGTGTTTGCTGAAAGAGGAAAAAATTAGTAATAAAGCTTAGAAGAGAGGAAACCACAGCATTCTACGTGAACCTCTATGAGAGTTATAACTAGAGACTCTATAGTACATATGTGACAGGTTCCCCCTAGACCAGGGGTGGGCAAACTTTTTGACTCAAGGGCCACAATGGGTTCTTAAACTGGACCGGAGGGCCAGAACAAAAGCATGGATGGAGTGTTTGTGTGAACTAATATAAATTCAAAGTAAACATCATTATATAAAAGGGTACGGTCTTTTTTTTTTTTAGTTTTATTCATTTCAAACGGGCCGGATTGGGCCCGCAGGCCGTAGTTTGCCCACGGCTGCCCTAGACCCAATAGTATATAAGTAACTTAACGAGGGAATAGGAGCTATTTTTCTAAAAAAAAAATGGCGTATTACTTTCTTATCTTTTAAAGGTGACAACATGGGATTGGACCCGAGCAGAGAAAACATTTTCAGTTTATGAGATCATGTGCAAGATTCTCAAGGTATGATCAATAGGTGGTAAAAATTTTAATTTTTCCTCAGCAAACAGTGGTTCAGCTCATAAGCAGAGTCTGAAAAGCAATGATGCATGATTATGAAAGAAAATATAAGATACGGGCAAATAAATTATATGTTGGGTGTCCTAAAAATGTATACATACACTTTGAATAATAATAAAGGCAATGTTTATGAAATAGTTTATTTTCAAAATTGAGCTATCAGCAGTTAACACATGTATAAATAATAGAATGCAGAGGTGTGTAGGCACCCTCATATTGGCTTAAATAATTGTTAAGCAGATTTTTCAGTTTCTCAGTCTGGGGAGGAAACAAGGAGGAACTTGGCAGAAATCCATTGAGGAAGAAGTAGAAAGTGCAATTGGAAATAGCCTGAACTTAAACAGCTGTTGTTACCATCGTTTTTGGCTAAATAAAATATAAAAGAGAAAAATTTGGATATATTTGTTTTAGAAAATGTAGAAAATATAAAGGCATATGCAAAGAAAGCTAATTTGTGTGTGGCTTTTGTCTTTTTAATTATCAGGGTTAGGTTATCTCTCTGAGTATGCAAAACAACATACAATTATTTTTTATCAATTGAATTTCTGTGCTATACATAAAATTGTTGTGATAGCAAATCATCCAGAATTCTTTATAATTTCAAATGGTTTCTGCAGCCATTTTAAATAAAGGAAATGGGAATACTTTATAAAAGCTAAATAATAATCTGTATTCAGTTTCTGCTCTAGGGTCTGTAGGCTTGTTAAGGTTGACCTTGTTTATGTAATCAAGGAGAACTGAGTTCCCTGTACTTTATGTCAATTATTTCTCTTCCAGTTAAAGACTCAGTAGATTAGAAAATGCTGGAACATTTACAACACAATGAAATGTATCAAAAGTGTCTGAAAGCAGAGACAAAGAAACATGATTACCTCAAAAGTATTCATAATATTTTTCCCTATTGAATAATTCTAAATGAAAGCTGACATTTATAATAGCACAAAAGCTAAATAAAAATATAGGTCATTGCTTGATCATCACTGTACATGGTTTTAGTTTTATTGTGGGATTAATGGTAGAACAACTCTGATATGCTTGAATTTATTGTTAATAAAAAAACAGTTCTGGAAACTTCTAAAAGATGTACTGGTATCTGAAGAAAAAGAGATCAACTCAATTTCAGTTAATAAAAATAATTACCAAAATGACTAATAAGATTGCTTTCTCTCTTTTTTGGGTGGGGGGGAGGGGATTTTTTTAAATTGTTGATAGTATTACAGATGCCCCCCAATCTCTCCACTCCCCTGCTCCGTTTACTCTCTTCCTCTCAGCCCCTACCCCAGGCCAGGCCTTCACCACACTATTGTCTCTGACCATTGGCTATACATATATGTATATAAGTTATTTAATTAATCTCTTCCCATCTCCCCCCACCCTAAGATATGTCAGTCTGTTCCATGTAGCCATGTCTCTGGACCTGTTTTTTTCATCAGTTTGTTATGATCATTAGGTTCCACATGTGAGATCATGTGATACTTGTCTTTCTCTGACTGGCTTATTTCACTCAGCATAATATTCAACAGGTCCATCTATGTTGTTGCAAAGTGTAGAAGATCCTCCTTTTCTACAGCTGCATAGTATTCCATGGTGTAGATGTATCACAGCTTTTTTATCCACTCATCTACTGATGGGCACTCAGGCTGTTTTCTTATCTTAGCCATTGTAAATAATGCTGCAATGAACATAGGGGTGCGCATATTCTTCCTGGATGGTATTTTGGGGTTCTTAGAATATATTCCCAGAAGTTAGAATCCTGGGCCAAAAGGTTGTTCTGCTTTTAATTTTTGAGGAAACTCCATGCTGTTTTCCACAGTGGCTGCAGCAGTTTGCATTCCCACCAGCAGTGTTCTGGATTCTCTTTTCCCCACATCCTCACCAGCACCTGTTTGTTGATTTGATTGTAGCCTTTCTGGCAGCTGTGAGGTGATGGCGCATTGTAGTTTTTATTGGCATCTCTCTGATGACTAGTACCGTTGGGCATTTTTCCATATGTCTAGTGGCCATCTTTGTATATCCACTTCGGGATGAGGTTTGTGTTGGTGTTTGTGTGGTGGGAAGCAGATAAAAGAACATACTAAGGTACAGGAGCCTTATTTAAGGAACAAAGGAGAGCCACTGAAGGATTTCAAGCATGAGGAGTGAAGCATTTGCCCTTCTAGCTCCAGAGTGAGATCGGATTGGGAGGGTGGAGGAGGGGCAAGCCAGGGGCTTTCCAGTGTATGATATGATAATCCACCATCTGCGTATTTCCTTGTATGCTCATCATCCCAAGTTTAGTCTCCTTCTGAGCAGTGACCATGTTTCATGAAGGTTTAGTGATATTGTAGCATCTAATCTTTATGATGGGCACCTCCAACCACGCATTAGTCAACACCGACTTAAGGTATGAGCATGTCAGCCATCTGAATTGATGTTTGCCAGCCCGTGTAACTCCAGGTTTTCATCAGGACAGTGACCTCCTGGACCAGCGCAGACACTGTTTCACTGTGCAGTCCGAGTCGGGGGAGGACCTCTACTTCTCGGTGGAGTTAGACTGTGACCTTGCCCAGTGGGAAAGAGCCTTCCAAACAGCAACGTTTCTGGAAGTGGAGCGGATACAGGTGAGAGTCTGTGGCGTTTGAGGATCTGGGACATAGCGATGCATGCCCACTGGCTTCGAGTTCTCACAGAAATCCAAATTAGCATAACACCACCATTTTTGGAATCTTGACCTCCTTCTCAAATACATTCGATAATCAGCCATTGTGATTGAACGAATAGTAATGCAGCTCTGAAAAACATTTTAATTTCTCTACAATTTGATCTCTCGGGGCTGTTTCCTATCACTCCTCAACAATATATTGGAAATTTTCATTAGAATCAGTCCTGCTTTAAATCTAAAATGAACACGCTCTGATTTTAATTATACTTCCCAAGGCTATTTCCTGTTCTGCAATCATGACCACCTAATTTCCCGCTGAATGGCTTCATTCACTCAAAATGCTTTTTCTTGGTAGAAAGCCTTCCCTTCATATCTACCCTCCAAAACTACACCCAATCTTTGAAACTTTTTTCATAGGTCATATCATCTGTGAAGATTTTGGTAATTTCCAGTCTACCCTGCCCCCTGTCTACCACTACTCCTTGCACAACAGTTCTGTTCAATATTACTTGATTTTGTCACCAATATTATTTCCATAGCTCTGCTCACATTCTCATAGTGGAGTGAAGTGTGCTTGACATTGCTCACACTGAGTTCTAGTTTGCTTGGGATTTTTTATCCATCTACCAACCAAAGTACAATGCATGTTGTACATCATAAGTATTTAACAGATGCCTATTAAATTTTATTTCTTAAGCATGAAGTTATGTCTAGATCAAACTTCATAGAATCTTCAGCCTCTCCAATTTATAGCACCATGAAATGGAACAGGCTAAGAAACATTGGGCCTGTCTCAATTTGAAAAGTCACCAATTGTTGATTTCTGAAGAATCAATCTGTTTATACAAGTAATAGGCGAGTGGTCAATATCTTTGAAAAATAGGTTGTGTCACACGGGTGAACTGATAGAGACTGTGAAGGTCAAGATATTTTTTCGTTGTTGTTTCTGCCTTGGTTACAGAATCTGTGTTTGTGTGCCCGAGAATTCTCTTTAAATAATGTCTATAAAATTAACATACCAAGAATTTAAGTAACACCTTAATCTTTAATAATCCGTTTTTGGCTTAATGAAAATGCAGGGATAGTTAGCTGGAGGACATGACAACTTAATCTTGCCTACACCTAAAAATGTTTGTATCAGTTTTATTGCAAATATATAGATAGTAAGAAAAGTCGGTGTGGTACATGATAAAAACAATCTTTTTAAAAAAGACTGGAAACTTGGTCCTGCATACCCCTTGGCAAGTCAAAAATCACTTGGATTTTTTTTAAATTAACATTAGGATCTTGATAATACTATCTTCCTTACACGATTACTGCTGATAATATTAGCTGTTATATAAGAACGCATTACAGAAGCTTTCACACAGTGTTGGATAACTATTAGCTATTAATACTGATCTTGGATCAATCACATAAAAAGTAACAGTGTTCTCTGTTCCATCTAGTGCAAGACATATGCATGTGTGCTAGAAAGTCATCTGATGGGACTTACCATCGACTTTAGCACAGGATTTATCTGCTTTGATGCTGCGACAAAGGTAATGAGTTCGGGCCAGCTCTGAGAACTGTTCTGCAGACATTTTAATTTAAGAATGATTGAAATACCTTTGAACTCCTGCCAGCATTTTAATTTTCATATGTCAAATATAAGATTCTCATTTTTTGTTAATAAAGGTTAAATTATGCTTTAACCTGTTTATAGAAAACAAAAGTTGAAAATTGTAATGAAACAAATGTGTTGGCACACAACACTAGAACTATATAAATTGAATATATATGTATATATATATTCATTTTTTCTCTTTTACTAAAGCTATGGCCTTATATTGAGGAAAAATTTTCCTCCTCAAAAACATTTTTTGAACAAAATATTCCTTTGATTATTTTTCTTTTTTTTTGATTCTTTTTCTTTAGCAACCTTTCTAGTATCAAAATGGGGGAAATATATTTTTAGCTTTATAGGTAATATGTTGGAATTATAGCAGTAGAATGGAGGAATTTGAGTGTGAAGTTTCTGGCCAAGGAGTATAATCCTTGTAAATACTTAAAAAGGTCTTGTACTGTCTGATTGTGTGCCCTTTCCACAAAGGTTATGTCTCCGGAAGGGATGCATACTGAATGATGAAGGGCACCTTCTGAGCCAGGCCTATCTCAAATATCTTCAAGATAAACTGACCCCTCCCCACCGCTAATCTCCTCCCAGTACTGGCATCACTGCTGCACTTTCTGACTTGGGGCTCTGGTCTCCACATAAGCCATTCTTCTTCTTCCCATAAGGACATACATTCTGTAGATCCACCCCACTTTCTTCTATATCAAAGAATGGTCTAAGAAATAAACTGATACATTCCTTCTCCTTCATTTAAGGACTAATGGCAATCCTCTACTGATAAGAAAATTATCAATAATATATCATAATGAGGTATAATGAATTTATAAAATGAATTTATGTAATATATAATAACGAGACACAATGACCTTATAGAAAATGAGCTTATATGATATAGAATAATGAGGTATAACAAATTTATATAAAGTGCCATTCACTTGTTATCTATTTATTCACTGAACATTTATTATTTTTCAAGCTGAGCTCAGTCACCACCTGTGCCCTGCCCCCGCCAACCAGAATGAGCTGCACACGAATCTGTAGATGGCTGCTATTTATGCTGCCTTGGAAGTGCCCAGGGGAGGCCACGCTGCAAACTAAGTCCTGCTGCAGCTAGTGCTGAGCCTGGGGCCACTGAGTGAAGGGTATGGGGCACTCTGAGGCCAGATGCTGCTTGTTTGATAGATTTTAGAGGAGTCCAAAACATGAGCCAAAAGAAGCCATTTGTAGGAACTTATGATTATTTTATTTTATTCTTTTTAAAGTGTTAACTTTTAAATTAATATTTATTTTGAGTGGATTCTGAAGATATAATGCTTACAGAATTTTTAAGTTTTTTTTAAAATTGTTGTAATACATTTTAATATAAAATTTCCCATTTTAGCCGAAACCGGTTTGGCTCAGTGGATAGAGCGTCGGCCTGCGGATTGAAAGGTCCCAGGTTCAATTCCGGTCAAGGGCATGTAGCTTGGTTGCGGGCACATCCCCAGTAGGAGATGTGCAGGAGGCAGCTGATCGATGTTTCTCTCTCATCGATGTTTCTAACTCTCTATCTCTCTCCCTTCCTCTCTGTAAAAAATCAATAAAATATATATTTTAAAAAATAAAATAAAATTTCCCATTTTAGCCATCATTAATTGTACATTCAGTGACATTAATTAACTTGTGCTGTTTCCAAAACTTTCCTTCGCTCCAAACGGAAACTTTAAATCGTTAAGCAATAACTTCTATTTTCCTCAACCGCAGGACAGGAAAACAAAAACAGCCAGGATCCAACCAAATGCTATCTACAAGAGGCTGACTTTATATCTAAAGAAAGACACAAATGGGTTGGGAAAAAAAAGATGTAAAAATATATCCCATACAAATTGTGCCATAAGAGAGCTGGGTGACTTGCTTTTGTTTTGTTTTTTCCCCTTTAGGCTGTACTTTGGAGGTATAAGTTTTCTCATCTTAAAGGCTCTTCAGATGATGGCAAGAGCAAAATCAAATTTTTGTTTCAGAATCCAGATACTAAACAGATTGAAGCAAAGGTAAGCCCAAGTTCATCATATAAACCATCTCTAACTACATTAATACTGTTAAGAAGCAAAGGAGAGAAAATTTAGAAGAATAAAAAGGCAAAAGCATACATTCCCTGTTTACCCTGAACTGTACCTTATGACCAAAAAAATAAAAATAAAAAAAATTTAAAGGCTAATTTTCAATGAAAAGCATAACTTAAAATAAATTAGACTCAAGAATTACATTTCTTACTTTTAATTCCTTATGGGCTTTATTTGTATCATACTACAATAACATAATAGGAACTAAAAAAATCACTCTTTTGTAGTCTCACACACTAAATAATAATTTAAAATGCTTAAAAGTTTCTGGCTCTCTTTTATCATTTATTCCATTTTTGAATATGACTAAAAATCTTTAAAGAATATTATTTTTATATCAACTCATATTTTCTCATGTTATGTATTAAAATGCACGAATGAATGATTTTTTGCTTTTCTTCATGCAAATTTTTAGTATTTTTAACTATATTAACGGTGTTGTTTTTAACTCATCAAAAAGATTCACTACTTTATTTTTTAGGAATACATATATTTTAAATATTCAAATTTTGAATTATTTCCATTATTTTACTATGGAATTCACAATAACAATGTTTGGGTTGGAATGGATTATAAATATAGTATTCCGTTGTGGAAGAATGGGTAAATAATAAATGCCAAAGTGAGGGTTTAATTGTTGTCTGTGGGCTTGCCATACAGTGACTGCATTATGATGCGTTGCATTCTCTTGTCACCTACTTTGTAAAGAGTTTGTATCATAAATGGATGTTGAATTTTGTCAAAAGCTTTTTATGCATATATTGAGATGATTGTGAGTTTTATCCTTATTTCACTTCGCATAATGTTCTCAAGGTCCATCCATGTTGTTGTAAATGACACTATTTCATCCTTTCTTATGGCCGTGTAGACTCCATTGTGTATATGTACCACATCTTCTTTATCCAGTCCTCTGTCGCAGGGCACTTTGGTTATTTCCATGCTTTGGCCACCGAGAGTAATGCTGCAATGAACATAAGGGTGCATATATCTTTGCGTATAAGTGATTTCGAGTTTTTTGGGTATATACCCAGGAGTGCGGTTGCTGGGTCGTATGGTAGCTCTACTCTTAATTTTTTGAAGACTCGCCAGACTGCTTTCCATAGTGGTTATACCAGTCTACATTCCCACCAGCAGTGAATAACTTTAAACAACCAAGTACAATTAAAATTATGTAAATTTTAAATTAATGAAATGCATTATTTTTTGAAGCAGAACCATGTGGCTCCTAATATCATGACCACTCATATCCCTTTTCTTTCAGTAATTCATATTCAGTGTCCTTTAACAATGAATAACTTATTCTAAAAGAGTAGTAAAAAATGTTTTCTAAAATCATTCCAACCCAAATGTATCATTTGACGTATGTACAAAGAAATAAAAATACTTTTAAAGTACTCCTGTGGTTCTCTTTAGTTACATTTTATCAAGAATAAAGTTTTAATCAGGCCCAATATATTTTTATGCTGCATTGATCAATACTGAAACGACTGTATGAATGATAGCATGCTTACTCCTTCAAGTTCTTAGATCACCATGATAGTAAACCTGCAATATATATATTAATGTTACATATTGAACAGAAATTGACCAGTAGAGTTGCCATGCATTCGCTATAACTGGTGATAGTTAAGTTTATTGCACTTGAAGAAAGTCCATTATCTACTTGTGTGGTTTATTATCCATTTTTTAAGTGAACTTTTTATTTTATTTTCTCTGACCCCTGCCTCTTTCCTCTCAGGAGCTGGAGTTTTCGAATCTGTTTGCTGTTCTTCACTGCATTCACTCCTTCTTTGCAGCCAAAGTGGCTTGCCTAGACCCTCTCTTCTTAGGCCATCCAGCTACTGCCTCTGCGGCTGCCAGTTCTGCTACGATGAGCAAAGCAAAGTACACGACTTGACCCCCTGAGCTTTGTGTTGCCACTTACCATGACCGTATACATAGAGGAACAGCTTCGTCACTTTAGACCGTGGAGAGACAATCACCTCATCAA